TTCTTCCAGCAGACATCCTCCATGTGATTCGGCTTTCCACAGTACCTGCAGGGACTATGGGAAGCAGAGCCTGAGTCTCCCTGTGAAGCACCACTTGACATTCCAGGAAATCTTACCCCTTCAGTTCCCTTTCCGAGCTTGGGAGGTGTGCTCGTATCCTCTTGTCCTACGCTACTTTCAGGAATAGCTCTTTTCCTCGCTTGAAAGGTTCTAACTTGTAACCTCTCGCTTTCAACTCGTTGAGCTTTTTCCACCGCGCAACTGAAGGCATTCAGATGGGCTACAGCCAGATCCTTCTGAATCTCAACATTTAAGCCTGGACAAAACGCATTATCCTCCTTTGCTCAGTCATGATCAGCTCAGGAGCCAACTTCGACAATCTAGTGAACTGGTTATCATATTCGGCGACAGTCTGAGTTCCCTGGCGAGGCCTAATGAACTCATCTTCTTTCTTTTCTTGAATTAGGGGTGGGAAATACTTCGCGTTAAACTCTATCATGAAGTTCGCCCACGTCCTCGGTGTTTGTGCTTTTTTTCATTTCAATCTTATTCCATTCTACCAAGAACCGGCTGCTCCCTCCAGTTGGAAGACAACAAATGTCACTTGTCTCTCCTCAGTATAATGCAACGCTGCAAAAATATCAATCATCTTCTCTAGCCACAGCTTGGCCACACCAGGGTCTGGTCCTCCAAGGAATTTCGGTGGGGAGAACTTCTAAAATCGTTCGAGGGCCCTATCCTCCCCCTCTATATGGTTACCAAGGTTTCCAGGTTGAGGAATAGGGTCCCCCTCTATATGGTTACCAGGGTTTTCAGGTTAAGGAATAGGGTTTTGGCCCTGATGCTCTACTACGTGAGCTAAAAGATCCGTCATGCGCTGGATAGCCGCAGCTACCTGAACATTAGGATCCACTCTAGGTTCAGGGTTGGGTTCAGGCATTGGTTCCCAATTTCCCCTTTCATTCGAGGGTTGCCTACATCCACGGCTCTGGGCTCATCCACTACGAGTTCCTTCCATTGGATTAACTAATCTAGGCTCGAGGCGCGAATACAAAATACAAACTAGCGACGTCAGTCAGTCAGATATACATATAATACGTCCGCATCAATTCAAAAGCAAATATACATATAACACGACTATATCAAACAAATCACACAGTAACAGTAAGTCATATACAAGCAAAGGAAATCTTATGGAAGTAAGGGGCTCATTCCATAGTGCACACTACGAATTAGGCCAAGAGTACAAAAGCAACTAACGAAACGCTTTCCCCCCTAGGGTTCCATTCATAATCTACAAGAATAACACAATTTATCTCTTAGGTAGGGTTAATCATCCTTAGTGAGCCCTACACATCAAATAAAGTTCCGTAGAATCAGATTCCTAATTCGCCCAAGTCATTTCTAACCTAAGCTTTCATCCCGTTTTATATTCGGGTGCAAGAATCCAAAATAAGATAATTTATCACTCGAGCTGGCCAGTTCCAAGAGTAAATCATCTACATTTGTAATTCTTACCTGACATATACTGATTGTCTCCAAGTACCAGACTAATGTTTTGAACCCTGTAGTACACTGTGTTTCACAGCCTATGCTCAAAAGAGTACTTAGTCCCTTACACTAATTTATATGAGCGAGACCACAACACCACTTGGCCCCAAGCTCACTCTGCGCAGAGACCACGCGAAACGGCTCTGATACCACCTGTGACAGCCCCACCTTACTCTAAGACGAACCAAAGGGTTCAGCGGACCACCTGCCCAACCCTCGCCGGGACTACTGATCTGGAACAAACGGAAACCCTACCAAACGCTCAAAGGAACTTCGAGAAGATAAACATTTAGAACCCAATTGAGCTGAACTTTTAGATGCAGTCAATCATTGGTACAGCGTTCCCACGAAAATCAAAATGAAATGGAAGAACCGCTGCCACGTCACAATCCAGCCGGTACTCAATCGAATACAGATAATGTTATATAACTCTAGAGAATAACATTTCCAAACCAAATAAAATGCATGAACATAATTAAACAATTTTATTTACATACGTTTGTAATTTACAAATCAAAAGGGAAATATTTGGATCAAGGTACATTTAGGGTTTTCCAACTCCCGAGGAGCTATACAAAAGAGTATTTATACTAGCTCATTTCATTCTTCAAAACAGCGAAGTTTCAAAAGATGGTTCCTTGTAAGGAAAACAAGGATAACAGAACGGGGTGAGTTAGAAACTCAATGAGGTACCAAAAGTATAAACAGTAGAAATCATGAGAAAATACTTTTAAGCCACATATACACATCAAATAAGAGAAATGAACAAGCACCACAATTTAAAGGATACAAGTGGCTCCCAGGAGCCAAATCCCCGTTGCAATACTTGCTCCAATCTCGTTGACCCTCCGTCAATGTTTAATGAAATACACATGTCCGTAGCCCCTCGTACATCAAAATCTCGTTCACCAAACATATCCCTTACCGGGCCCAAACGTCAAACAGGAACAGGAATGGTAATACTTGAATATATCGGAAATCCAGAGTCTCCAATACCCATAGATTCCCTAGGAACAGGCACCCATGGATTGTCAATTTCCTCGACCAAACCCTTGCTAGCTTGATTCAATTAACTCCCCATAAGGTTGAGCTCAGATTTAACAGGAAGGTCGTTGGATGCACTTCCAAACGACGTTATAATAGGCGTAGGTAACAGATTCAAGTATATACAGGAAACAAGCCACACAGGCCAGAGAACGAGTGTGATAAAGTACATTCTCGTCTCGTACAAGATAAACAGTCGATAAAGACATTCAAATAACAATTTGCAAGTACAAATAACCAGTTTAGCAATAATTCAGGGGAGTGGTACACTCACCGTTTCAAGTACAGATACTTCAAAAGTTTTCATGCCAAAGTAGCTTTAATCGCCAAGAAACCCTAGAATAACCAAAATAAAACAATTAAAGGTTCCACATCCAAAATCGAGTAAACGGAATACACAAGTGAGGCTCGACTACTAGTCGTTTGCCTCGCTAAATAATTACTAATGCAAGAGTGCAAAACATGATTTTTGAGAACGAAAAGATAACATGAAGACCTAGGGCTCAAACAACCCCAAAAGCCTTTCTTATATATATCCCAAACCAAACCATACTCGAAAAAATCCAACACTCCCAAAATTTGGACAGCATATCCCGTACATTTCCTTACTTTTCCATCCTACAATCAACACCGAATCATCTCAAATCAACCACATATAAATCATAGATTATAAAACACACATTTCAGCACAATAAGCACAACTGAAGCTACACTTATCGGATTGAAACGAATCTTATGGTGTTTCAAACCCAAAACATAGACCTATATTTCTTATGAAGACCTCCAAAGCCAAATCATGTATTTTCATGGTCAAAAATGGAAATCTCCACGAAAATAGAAATCTGTTTGCGAAATAGGGCTCATGGGTAGTCAAGGGTATTTTGGTCATTTCACATACTACAGTGCTCCGATTGAGCTGAAATGTTACAGGTACCTAGCTAACTCAATTACCAACAACTTTAATGCTTTGGGCCAAGGCTGATTCGGCCTCCTTCAAGGATGAACATGCAGTGCAAAATCAGGGCAGATTACTAACCCTAAGCTGGAATTTCAGCACGAAGTCTGAAATTTTTCGCAAACAACTGCAACTAACACACAAATGCTTCATTTCTCACCATATCATGCTATCATTCATGGCCAACCACTAATTATCATATATAATCAAAAAAATCACCAATAAAACCCGAAATGTAGCTAACTCTACCTCAAACCAGAAAATCTTCCATAAAATAGCATATTTAGCCACCACAAACGACTAATTTGACATTAGCATGAACAAAGAGGAAGTTTGTAAGCAAAGTACCTTAACACCTCAAGAAAGATGATAACTTAGGGTTTTCCTTTCACAAATCCCTCCACTAGAAGCTTTAATCCTCCTTATCTAGCAACTTTGATGGTGTATTTTGCAACTTACTCGGTTAGAACTCAAGATTGAAGCAAATTGAAGTTGGCAAATGAAGTTTTCTCCCTTGGTCTTTCTCTTCAAGAAGCTCGGCCAAGAAGGTAAAGAATGAAGGAAAAATTGGTCAAAATTAAGGTTTTAGTAAAGGTAAAGAAAGTTAGGCAAGTGGCACTTTTAATGGTTCAAGTTTATCTTCTTTCTTCCAATGGTTAATCTATCTAGCTAACCTCTAATTATCTCTTAGCACCTTGTAAAATAATACCCATCAATACTAAACTTCAATTAATTGCCAAAAATTTATCGCACCTACCGCACGAGCGGGTCCCACGTCCTTAATACACTTCCAAATTAACCCGAACTTATACACTATATTCACTTATAAAATGTCTAGAAAATTAAGGTAGTAAAATAAAATAAGGAAAATACATGAAAAGGAATAGAATTAAATGATATAAAATAAGGAAAATTTTACGGGTCCTCACAAGGAGTCATTTTTTCTTTTGCTGTTAATGATGGATTGTGAGTAATCCAATATTTCATTTTTTTTAGTATTTTCAATGTGGTTGTATGCAGCATGAATGTATTAATGAGGTTTAACTTGACTTTTTAATAAAGGGGCACGTTCGAATAGCATTAAACAAGTATGTTTGACAAGTTTGAAGTCAAAATTTTGTTTTTGAGGTATATAAGATATAGAAGTTGGAAATAAAATCATGTGGACGGTACCATTGTATGACGATGGCTAGTGTAACAATAACTCATAATTGCAGATATGATATCGAGAAAAGTGTATTACTTAAGCCGTAATAATTATTATAGTATGTTTAGCTTAACACTTAGTGAATATAGTTGAGAACTGCGCTTCTCAATTTGGTTGGCACACTAGGTAATGTATGTATTAGAGCATTACTTGGGCCCACAGAGGGTGTATTACTTTCCATATATATAATATATGTATCATAATAGACGAAGAACAAAAGATTTAGAAAGTTTTATCTTGCACTGCAGAGAAAATGGATAACAGTGAAAACTCAAGCCAAGGTCACAAATCAAGAGGCAACAGAGGATCAAACTTAGGTAATGAAACAACTTACATTCCTTGCCATTATAAAACCATTCCTTTCTTTTTTTTTAACATGCTACTATATATATGCAAACAATAATTATTCTTAGCCGAATATCATTCATTTTCATGGCAATTAATTTTTTTGGATCTTTTGGATTTCGTTGTTTATCTACATTCTGGTAAATTTTCTTTCCATCTTAAGTTGATACCTACTCTTTTTATGTGCTTATGTGTTGATATATGCATATAAAAATTGATATGTTTCTTTTTTAACTTTGTGTGCAGCACTTAAAATGTTTAGGGATGAATTTTAGAACATGAAGTTGTCCAAAAATAGATAAGAGAACTGATTTCTCCAAATCTTATTCAATTAATGAAGCTTTGACTGCAGATAAATGTGGCTAGAATAGTTATTTTTCTTTGATTTGCTATTATCATTATCTTTTCAATCCTTTTTTTGATTGATTTTTCTAATCCCTTCTTATTTAGGGAAATCTTTTTGTCTACTTTATACTCTTTACATATAGGTCGATAAGGAGGTAGAATTTTTGGAAAAGATTTTAAATATTCTTTTATAGATTTAAGTAATTATAATTGTATTCTTGATGAAACTTTGAATTCATGTAGGAAAAAGTTTAAGAAAAACCTTTTTTAGGTATTAAAAATAATTTTTAGGCATTTAAGAAAAATATAATTATTCTTTTCAGGCATTCAAGAAAAAATATACTTATTCCTTTTTTAGGCATTTAAAAAATATATAATTATTATTTGAAATGTATTTTTAAATAGAAAATTATTAAGCTTTTAAAAATGTAATTTTTTATTTACTCTTCAAAATTTTGATTTTTTTAATTGTGGATGTATTAAAAGAAAATCTGAATGTTTACTCGTATACACATTAAATACAAATCTTATCTTTCCAAATTAGTTGCACCGAAAATATACCTTTTTAGCCAATCACGAACCGCTTATCTCAAGTATAAATCATCTATACCTCCACGAATAGTGGAGTATAATTGATTTTTGCCGCATGTAAAGAGGAACTAATTCGATTTTCATTGAAAAATAAAAAAGAATGATCATTTTTGTTATTGTTTCAATTAAAAATTCAACTTTACTGTGTATTATCTTAAGGAAACATCTCTCAACTTATTCTATATAATAAATATTTTAGTTGTTAATATTAATTAATTGAATAAGGGTGCAGCACTATCAGAGTAGATGGTTTGGCCTTGAATCTAAATACAAATAGAAGCAGATCTTTCTCCAGTGTTTGCCTTATTCAGGTCTTTGACTCCATGAAATCCATAATCTCATAGAGTTGAAAGAAACTATAACATTTTATGGTGCTAAATTGACAGGTGTTAACTTGCTTTTTAACTTCTAAATATCATTTTTGAGACTCCAAAAATTAGAGATTTTGATTTCAAATCTCCTACCTCCTCCTAGATTCTCAAGTCTCATCCCTGCTTCACTAGGAAAAAAAAAATTCTAAACATCATTATAGCACATACACTCTAAAAAAGAAGCCCGTTTTCAAGCTTCTAGAAGGGGACAATTGTAAACTTCACTTACGCACTTGTGGGACCAGTACCATGTTTTGCATTCTGTAAAAAATTGTCATCTTCTTGTAGTCACGTTGAACGCAATCATGGATTTGCCTTTGTACTTTCACTTCTGAAAGATTCCGTGTTCAGTTTCAAACTCTAAATCCAATGCATCCGTTCCAACTCATAGCTACTCATTGCCTCTTGGTTTTATCGTAATGTACAATTGGCATGAAAAATGAAGGAGATAATTTTTTTTGAAGTTTTGTTTGGTTATCTCTCACGAGAATAATGCATGATGCATGCTACTAATTCTAGTACATTTTTCAATGTAAAAGGAGTTTGGGCTCTATGATTTTTAATGCATTCACATGATACATATTAGCTTTATGCTTGTTGGATTATTTAAAACATATAGTTATCCTATTTCATGCCAATATTTGATATATACTACATTTGTATCAATGATTATATCAATACATAAAACTAAAAAATTTAAAATAAAAGAAAAAAAATTAATAAGATTGAATTAATTTAAAACTTCTAGTTGTATAGAGAGTAAACAAATAGATAGAGGGCAGATAGTTAAAAGGTGTTCTTCATTACACATATATTTTATATTAATTTCAGCTTTGGTGATTCGAGAACTTGGAGATACTGCAAATAATGTTGCTAGAAACCCCAGTAGCCCTAATGTCAGCATCAACAACAATGCTCGAATGCCAATGCCATACCTAAGGCGGGATCCTGAGCATTTGTTTCCAATAACCAATATATTTCGTATCATGAGGCGTAACTTGCCACCCAATGCCAGGGTATCCGAAGAGGCTAAATCAACCATTCAAGAATGTGTTTCAGATTACATTAACTTTATCACTGCAGAAGCAAATGAGCGCTGTCACCGTGAGCACCGCAAGACGATCACTGCTGAGGATCTTCTATATGCTCATGCAAATCTTGGATTTGATAATTACATTGGTCCTATCACTCTTTACTTAGAACGATATCGCCAAAATGAAGCTGCTCAAAATACCGTGCATGGCGATCCTTCAGTGAAGCGCACAACTATTTTTTCAAATGTGCACACACAAGGCCATCCTTCCATGCTTGCTCCTGCACCATCTCCTTTACCTCCAATTAATTCAGTTTTTCCAGTTGGTGCTGATGAGCAAACATTCTTTAATCCAACACCAATGAGCAACAAATTCTACTTTCAGAATGCTTCTGGTGCTAGTCATGGCGATGGCTTTGACGTTGTTGGGCCTTCATCAAATGCTGAGTTTCCAAGGGCATTTTTTCCCCACAATTTTCATCCAGGGCCTACTCTGCCATATGGGTCTGATCCTCATGGTCTGGGCCCTGATGGGCAGTAAGACTATAATTTTTGCTATGTGTGTAGTGTATGTTATATAGTCAAGACACTATTATAAGTGCCATGATGTTCTTGTTATTTATTGTGTTGTTAATATTGTTGTTGCTCCTGGACGTGAGACATCATGATGTTTGAATATTAAAACTAAGTTTATGCCCTCTTACTTGGTAAGTTATTATTGTTGTTACTCTAAGACGTGAGACATTATGATATTTGAGTATTGAAAATTGGTGTATATTATTCTTGAATTTTTTAAATACAGTAATTGGCATACTTATATTAAATGTATATTATCTCATTTCAACATATAATTTTGGTTTATAAGTTAAATTATATTTCGTATAATTATTGCCCTTATAAAAACGAAAGTTATAGTACTTGATTTGGGTTAAACAAACAATAAGCGGTATCACTATTTATTTTTAGTATGAAGATAATAGACTAATATCATTTTAAAGTACAAAATACATATTTGAATATATTCTTCTATTTTACAATGAGGTATTCTGTTCTTTTTAAGTCAATTGAGTATTTAATTACAATAATTTTAGTGGTTGTAAATTTGTCCGGTGTATAAAACTGATGGGAAAGAGTAAAGATTCACTGAAATCTCAAGTCACACATTGAAGTTTATCATTATTCTAGTAACAAAAAATTGATCAAATTTTTAATATTTTATCAAAACTGTTAGATTCAAGAAGTAAGCAAAGTGAAACTGATACTTATTTGTAAAAAAAGTGTAATAATCAAATTAATAAATTTTTCATTACATGAAATCTTTATGATAGATCAAATCAATAATATCAATGAACATATTATGCAATATTGACAAATAAATATTATGAACTTTTCTAGTTGTCTATACATTTATTAATTAAATATGTAAATGTGATATCTAAAATGTATGCTACTATTTGTTCCATGATGTTTTCAACTCTTTTTAAAAATCAAATAATTTTTTATTTTTTAACCTAGCCATGTATGTATGTAAACAATAATAAAAAAATTATAATCATATAATTTTCCATATGTGCGGAAAGTATTCCAGAGGTCGAACTCATAGGGATGAGTTAACTTTCTCTACTCTAATTATTATAGGGAATAGTGAAATTTAAATTCCAACAATCCCTAACTAAGAAAGGAATTAAATAGTCATATCGAATAAAAAAGAATTGAGAAAACAATTGGGAAGAGATTAGGGTTTCAAATTTTGATCTAGAGTTTGAATTAATTATCCAATAATTTTTTTAACATGCAAAGAATATATCATGCAAAGTTACTCTGAATTATCTCTTGATACATCTAATTTGTGCTCAATTAAATCTCATGTATATCTTGAGAACACAAGTATTAATTGATTCCTTTAAGATCTTAGGTGATATTAATTGCGTTATACAAACTCTAAACTACTCTGATATCTAAGTAAGTAAATTTATCTATCTAATAGCCGGTTATATATCTCTTCATAGTTTAATACAAACCCTAAAAGTATGTCCATGGTGGCCAAACATTAACACATAATAAAAACAAGATAGATAAATTGTGACGCCCCACTTCTCCCTAGGGCGAACTAAAGAGTATCCGCGGGACGCCTGCTTAGCTCTCGCTAGGACTCAAGCCAAATCATTCAAGTTTATTATCGAACTACACAACACAAGTAAGTAACTTAAGTACAGTAAATGCGGAATCGTTCAAACTTAACAATAGTCATCCATTATCCAACCCGCATGCCGGGTATTCAAAATATATCATGAATCCCAAATATACATTACGCCCCAAAAGTTACATTTCAATTCCAAAAGTACAATCCAAAACCAAGGGCATAGCCAAAATATAATAGAAACCCTAAAACAAAAGTACATCAGGAGGGTTTCTCCACACTTCCCCGAGATTCAATCCTGTTAAGGAAAACAAATCTATAGGGTTAGCAAAATGCTCGTGAGGCCAAGAACACACATGCAAGCACGTAGTTCAAATAACAATCTCAATTATGGGCTAAACAGTAATATATTCCAATAATTGACAATTCACCAAAGGAAATTTATCAGAAACAATTCAAGGATATATTAGCTCTCGGGAGCTAAGTTCTACTCGCTTTGACGATGTCACTCTTATACCTTCCCCCGATGACACTCCGTCAACTGGGTCGGTATTTCCAATTCGTAGATCACCACTTACTTCTTTCTGTCCACCGAACATCCACTCGGGCCCGCAAAACATATATGAGGCAATAGTCCACGAGTATGCCAAGCAAGACCTCTCAATAGGTCGAACTTATTTGTCTCATGGCACGCCTAGGTTCCCGACCAAGCCCATGCCGGCTTGAGTCCCAGGTCAGCCTATGAGTTTGGGCGTCCCCCATTTACAATTGTTTGTCGAGGAGATTCACTCCAACGACGTATGCAGCCATTGCATTCAATCTCATTCAATATCATTTATTCAAATGAGAACGAGTGAGATAAAATACACACTCGTCACCATTCCTAAAATCAGTAATCATTCATAACAATTAAGCACATATCAAGTACTCATATACTTGACACTCACCAAGTATTAAGTGCAAGTAGGGTCAAAGAAAGTTCAAGTGTCCACCGTGGGATCCTCTTGAAGGTCCTCGTGTGCGCCTGAGCAAATAATAGTGAATTATTATTCGCACAACCCAATTATCGAGAAATAATTCGTGCACTATAATAATCTAGGAAATTTCGTGAAAAGGAACCTTAACTACTTGTAAATCGAGGTTCGAGAGGCATTTCATAAAGTATAGGAGCATTTGGGTTTTTATCTTTGAAATCGAGGTTAAAACGTTTGCATAATGCCGAAAGAATAAAGGGTTCTTGGAAAACTCTATTTCCTTGAAAGTTGGAAAAATTTTAGTTTTGATATGGATCTTTGAAAAAATCGTATCTCACTCGATACAAGTCAAAAATTGGAAAAATTTATACTGTTGGAAACCTCTTGGAAAGTACTAAAAGTTCTTAGAAGATACTTTTCCACGAATCTCAGTGAAAAGTACTAAAAAATGAGCTTGAAATCACTGTTTCAGAATGTTCAGGATTGAGCTGAGGATGGTTTTTCGCTAACTTTGAAAATTTAGCAGAATTCACTCGTTGCGAACTGTGATGCCCCGAAAAGTATGAGTGTGAGAAACCGAAAATTTTTATATATTTTCTCGACATTATTTTGTTTTCTTGTTTATAAGTTTGTTTTCTTCAATATATTAATTTTCTAGACATTTTTATAAGGAAATATAGTTTTCAAATCATTTTTTTTTATCCAAGTTAGTCCACGTTAATTTTGAAGTATATTATGAACGTGGGACCCGCTAGTGCGGTAAATGCGATTGTTTTTTTTCAACTAGTTGGTGAACCATGAAGTTAATTGCAAAGATTAAATGTTATTGGGGCCATAGTGTGAGACTTAGCAAAATAAGATATTAGTAACCTTGAAACTTCTAAGGTCTTCCTAAGGTTAAATTTGATTGGTGGAGGAAAAGTGACCTTTGACCCAAGTGAAGACTAAGTCATCTTAAAGCCATCTTGGAGATTCATTATTCTCTTTTTTTTTTAGCTTGTTGGCTGAACACAAGAGAGAGAGTGAGCAAGAGAGAAACTTCATTTGTTCTTCAATTTCTTGCCCAATCTTGAATTCTAACCAGAATTTTTGCAAAACCCTCCATCAAAGTTGTTTACTAAGGTAGATTAAAAGATTGAGTGGAGTGATTTTGAAGGGCAAGCTCCAAGCTACTACCTTTCTTGTGGTTTTAAGGTATTTTACCTAGAACATCCTCTTTACTTCAATTCATTGCTTATTAGTGGTTTTTAGTTGTTTTAGATGTTGTTTTGTGAAAGATTAGCACTTGAATGCATGAATTCCAGATTAGGGTTCCAAACAGGCCTGTTCTGTCCGAATTTTTAGGTCCTAGATAGAGGCCGAATTGGCCTTTGCTTAAAACATGAAAGTTGTAGGGAATCACATTTTAGAGATGCCTACAAAATTTCAGGTCAATTGGAGTAGTGTGGAGTGAGAAAAGTCAGAAATACTGAGACTGGTCTGGGAAGGGGTGCTGCGAACAGGGTTGCCTTTTCACTCAATTTGACCGTGACTTTTCACCCTGATCCTCACCGAATTAGATTTTGGCCAAAACATGAAAGTTGTAGCCAAGGCTATAAAATAGTTTCCTGTAAATGTTCAGCTTGATCCGACACTGTAGCATGTGAAATGACCGAAATACCCTTGACTATTTTTGAAACCTGTTTCGCGCCCAGATTTCTGTTTTCGTGTAGTCTTCCATTTTCGATCATGAAAATGCACGATTTGGCCTTAGAGGTCTTCTGATGAAATGTAGCTTGATGTATTAGCTACCATATGCCTTTCGAATTTCTGGATTTGGACTTGTAGAGCCTGAGTTATGATATTTCCGCTAGAATGCGTTTTGGTGAATCTGTTTTACGTTTTTGATGTGGTATCTTGCCTTTTAGACCTGTTTGCACTCGAAACTGGATTGAGTGACCTTCTGCAATATTGTAGCCCTGTCTCTTAGTTTCGAAACGGTGGGTCTTTCACCTTCATCCGACAATCGTAGTGCATTTGGTACCATTACCGCAAAATGACGTCAAAACTGTTTTTCTGGTTTTGAGCTTAACTTTCATTTCCGGACTTTTTCCTAACTTGACTTGTGCTAGTACTACTTGGAGCTTGCTGAATGGCTATTGGATGAACTTATTTGTGTGACTTTGGAACTGGCTGAGGAAATAATGAAGCCATGATGGCTGGGAAAGTAAGCAAATTTAGGGGAAGTGCTGTCCGAAGTTTTAAAGGGTTTGATTGCTTTGAGTTTGTGATCTAAGACTTGGATTTGAGCAAGGCAATGTTATATGATGGATGATTTCTGAGCCATGGAGGTGAGTGACCCTAAACTATTTCCAAAGTACTTGTGAAATGCTTCTTGCATTATTTATTCGATTGCATATCATGCGTGCTTGCATGTGGATTCATGAC